GTTTCTCCATTCTGTTGAAGTCTCAATGTGATGCATTCTGATGAATGACAAACAGCATTAATTCAAGTCAGGAACTTTGCTTTCTGGCTAAGCAGATGTAAATAAGGACACGAACATGGTGTCACTGTCAACCACTGTAATATATATTTTAAGAGTCTTTCCTGTAAGAGAGTTTGTGTGAGCTGGAAAATTCATTCGGGCACTTACTTGGGTGCGAAAACCTTCCACACCATTAGGTGTCTCCTGAGGATAGCAGCAGCACAGACCGAAGAGAAGACCTGTGAAGGGACGCAGGCACAGCGACGTGATTAAGGTACGCGGAGGAAGCAAGGACTGCATGCAAGACGTCAAATGATTATTACACATCGGACTAAAGAAAATAATCCTAGGTTATAGATTACAAAATATCCCAAATGTTTTAGATTGGAGACAAAATATATTGGTACAGATGCTGCCGTAATGTGGAAATCTATCAATCATCAGAATCAGAATACTTTTATTTATCCCATTTAAATCATTGGGTTTCGTGTCAGTTTCTCCACTTTGGAATGGTAATAAAAAAAAACGATAAATAAAAGAATATTTAAAATAAAAATATGAATAAAAATAAGAAATGAAAGAAGCACTTTGCAATAAAAATATACAATAACATAGACATTTACATACGGTAGTGGCATTTCCAATAAATAGATGAACAAAATAAATTCCTATTTTTGTATACATTTCTTTAAGTAAAATGTCAAATAAAGATTAAAAAAATCGGTATACAAATACTAGAAGTTAAAGTAGAATTGGGCACATTTTACGTCGATATAACACGTACAATACAAAATATAGAGGTAAGATAAGATTAAAAAGAAGCAAATGCAGTAGCACTTATAATGGGTTTGGCTTGTAAGATAATGTTCTTACAGGATTCTTGCCTTTTTTTGTATCTTCATGGTTTAATACACCTATTGTAAGTTGCGTTGGATAAAAGTGCAGCTAAATTGCAGTTTAAAAGGGTTCGGCTGCTCATGGTGAGGAATATATTTGGTATACTGACCGGACAAAAGCGTTTCACGGTCTGTAGACGTACCTGTGCTCCGAGAATAAAGAGGTAGCGTGTTGCGAGTTGCAGCAGGGCGGAGGTGAACTGCTGGGGGTGTTCTCTCAGTCTCATCTCCATCACAGCGTCCTCTCCCTCGTCCCCGCAGGCTCTGCCCCCCCGACTCCCACGCACCTCACACACCAGGGGCCAGAAGAGCAGCAGCGGACAGGCCACTGTACAGAGAGACGTGGAATCAGGTTCATCTTAACTTTACAGTTCTATACATTAGCTACCGTAATTTTCGGACTATAAGGCGCACCTGAATATAAGCCGCAGCAGCTAAATTGAATGATGTGTACATATATAAGCCGCACTGGACTATAAGCCACAGGTGTTTTAATGTTGAATTACCATATGTAAGGGTTCGTGCACAGAGGGGATTGTCGGGAAAGAGATGGCTGTTTGAGGAAGCTCCCATTTATTAACATTTCAACAAACAAGTTGCATATTTGCATAACGTATTCAAGTGTTACCATTTAGTGCAATAGTAGCTACAGAACATGTACTGTGCTGTGTAAACTGTACTGTATCACATAGCGTTTCAGACACACAAAGACCCGGGCGAAGTTATGGCCGACTTCTCCGCCGCCCGGGACCGGTGGACCGCAAGCCGGACGGACTGCACAAGCAGCACAGGCTCGACAGGAGCAGAACTAGCCCTCTCGCAGGACCAAATTTCGGCGCCAAGCGCATCGAAAATAACGCCCGCAAACGCACCGCTAGCGCAGGTCTAACCGTAGCGTCCCGGATGCACCTCCGCAGCACCGACGGACCGACGACGGCGGGAGTCGAGTCTCGAGCAGAAGGAGACCTCTCCGGGCGCCAGTCTCGACCCGGGGCTCCTTTTTTTGCAGATTTCGGCGGCTTCTAGTGTCGACCAGACTGGGGCGTTGCGGAGGGAGAGGGCAGAAGAAGACCACGGGAGGAGGCGACGCGGAGCGACGAAGAGCTGTCGATACACTAGCGTCTTAGCCGGCATGGAGGACACAAGAGAGACCGAGAGTGTAAGGGTAGGTAGAGTTGACCTACCGGACAGGAGGGGGTAGGTGCTGGAGACTTCCGTTCGACCGAAGGACGGAAGGGGCGGGCAGGGGCAGCTGAACTCTTCTTCTCGGCGTGGGAGGAGCGGACCGGGCACAGGACCACCGTCGGAGATGGAGAGGACAGTGCAAGGTGCGCACAGCCGTCCTTGTCCCGAGGACGGTCGGCAGGGGGAAGGAGAGGGGGGAGAGGGCCGACGTCCCTGTTGGTCGACTTCTTGGAGGGGTGATAGCAGGAGAGGCAGCAGAGAAGACCCGAACACCTGCATGGACGACTTTGCGACAAGTGATAACCAAAATTGAAAGACAAACAAGACTAACGCCACAGAACAAAAGACAAGTGCACGCCGTGACCTAGGAGGGAGACTCCGGGCACAACGGACCGCGACGTCACCCGGCAGTCGCGGTGGGGCTCCTGTCGAAGTCCTTGGAACTGCCTCCACCACTAGCCGGACCCGGTCGAACCACGAGGGGGTCCGGCGGAAGACGGAGGACCCTGAGCCCTCAAGGACTAGACCGACCTAGGGGAGTGGCACAAGTAATTTCGGGTTCCTATTTTTCGGGGTCGGGCCCAGTCAGAGTCTGGGGCAGGGCGATGGCTCGCTCGTGGCCGTAGTCGTGGGTCTGGCTCGCGTGGTGGAGTAGGGCGTCCTAGATGGTCGCGTACGCAGCGAGCCGACCCTGCTGCTGTCGTCAAGCACGCCGCTACACCTGTGTCGGGGGCGCCAACCTTCCCCATCCGGGATGCCCCCGAGCCCTGGTCCCAATGGCCGGGGGAACCTACGACAAGACGCCGTACCGACCCTTAACTGAACGACCCCCGAACGACGGTGGGCCCTCCCCGTACCCGACGACAGGAAGAGACGAACGACGACCTTTACCTGAGACACGTGTAAGTGCGCCAGGAGGGTGTGGGAGGCTTTCAGACGTCCCTTGGAAGAGACCACTCCTAAGTGTTGTTAGGTGTGCAGATAAAGAAGACCCGAATAAACAGAGCAACATTCTCCTCCGGGACCCTCCGTTCTCTTCTTGTTGTAGACAAAGAGTTAAGAGTTCAAAATAAAGTTAACAACAAACAAAAAAAGAGGACACAACTTTTGGTGTAATATATGCCATGAACAATAACCAGTTGATTTAAGGTGACTTGTGGAAGGGAGACAAGGGGGTGTTCGACTGAAATTGCAGGGGAGCCTGGGACACCAACGAGACCAGAAAGGACCGGCGGTGCCCGTCAAGAAGGTGCCGGTGTCCTGTGGAGGGGGGTGGAGGGAGGGTAGGTCCCCCGCCGTCGGCACAAGCACCCAAGGGGACTGCCTGGTGGTGTCCCCGTGGACGACCGGGCGGAGAGACCGCAGGGAGTTTGTGAGCGGAGAGTGTAGAACAAAGAGTCCATCAATATGTCATTTACCGAGTTTGTTTTCCTGGTAACAAATTGTAATTACTTTCGGTTTAACACTAAAGGTACACTTTATTTTTATACAAAATGATCAACCTCTACACTTCCTAAATATAGGACATGGTCTTTACATAAAATTACTTAAATTTTATGGTTAAATTCACTAAAATAATATTAACTATTTTGTGTGACCTTTAATCTATAGAACCCCTTACCTAAAAATTTTTTTACTTTTAAGTTTGTTTCATGGCATTAAAACCTGATATTGGCGCCGGAAAAAAGGGTAAAAAGCTGGCGACGCCGAATATAATTGCCACGCCGATTAGATACCTAAAAAATGTCGATTGCACCGGTGTTCCCCCTTGAGGATTTTAGAACCTAAAATGGTCCAACATCAGGTGGTGGAATTGGAAGATACCCGAGATACCGGCCAGGCGCGGTGAATTCGCCCCCGAGGCCCCGTACCTTTTCGAACCCTCCGGCTCCTTTTCTGCCACTACCTGTCCATCGCGCCCGGTTTTCATTTTCACCTTTGGCTCTCCACCATGCTCTCTGTCCTTGCTCTCCGTTCCTGTCTGGTCTGTAATGCCTCCGCTCCTGTCAAACAGGGGGCAATGGTGACCAACTTTTGGTGACGACATCTAGGTGACGGCCATGCCACGCCGACCCTCACGTGGCAATTTAAACTTTCAACTTTTTCAAACACCACAGACTTGCGATACACAACTATGTCATGTCAAATGTGTCGTGTCCTGGTAAAAGACATTCCAATGATAAACGTGATTTACCATTGTGAAACTTATTGGCAATACCTTTATACGTTGAACCCAAACAACTTTACAATTATTTACCCTCGAAGGAGGTTTGTTCGGTAGAGAAGGGGGCTGTTAGGTGGAGACACGTGCTTGGGAATGTATACCCATTAATTTGTAATTTTGGGACGCCGAATATCCAGGTCACGCCGAATATATACATGGCATGAAAAAGCCCTGATATTCGGCGCGGAAAAAAGGTAAAAGTGCGACGCCGAAATATATTGCCAACGCCGATTAGATACCCTAAAAATGGTTCCGAGTGCCCCGGTGGTGGAATTGAGATTACCGGAGATCCCGGCCAGGCGCCTGGGGGGGTTGAAATTCCGCCGCCCAAGGTCGTCCTTTTCCGAACCTCGGCACCTTTTCTCACTCTGTTCCATCGCGCGTTTTCAATTTTCACCTTGGCTTCTCACCACGTCCCTCTGTCTTGCTCTCGTTCTTGTCCTGTCTGTAATGTCTCGCTTCTGTCAAACAGGGGCATGGTGACCAACTTTTGGCGACGACATCTAAAGTGGACGGCCATGCACGCGACCCTACGCCCGGGTGGCAAATTTCAAACTT